ATTGTCTAGGACATGACTCAAATAACAAGTCATGACTTAAAATGTAAAAATAATTTGCATTGCCAGTAATGTCAATATGGGTGGGCTTTAGAAAATCTTGGCATAGACATAGCTTCAGGAATACGATGTGGCACAAGTCAGCAAGATCAGAAATATTCCACTGGGTTTTTGAGCATTTTTCCCTGTTAACTTTGTAAGAGATGTAATGAGGTTGTAACTGCAATTGTTCTTTTTATGTTACAGTTTTGTCATGCCCTACATTGAGATGTATGACTGTAATACGAGCATATAATGCCACACTGTGCTGTTCTCCTTATTGTATTTGCAACTTTATTTTTCAATCAGTCTACAAGTATTTACATAAAACCAAAATATGTCCTTAGTATCAAGACTTTTACTGAGAAACTGTGATGAAATAAAGCTTTTCAACATAATATTTAATATTAAATATTTATTAGTTATTTTAAAAAATCTATCTCAACTTTAGTGAGTCTCTTGCAATCATTTTTGCTCTCTATTAAAGGTAATATATAACGCTATTGCGTAGGATTTTAAAGTCTCCAACTGATCATATTTTTTTCCCCAAGTTCACAGCATGCAAGTCTCATATTACTGATTTTTTTGTTCAGATACTAGGGCACGATTTCCTTTTTCTGAATATGTTGTATCCTTTAATAGGTTATAAGCATACCATTATAAGTTGTGTTGTGTTAGGACATCATTTCATCTGTGGACAGCTATTTTAAGCACAATTTTCTGTCATCTGAATTTCCTGAGCATTGCTGTTAGAAGTCTTGTATCTAGATGATAGTAACTATTTGGCTCTAGGTTTTGTGAATGTGGCTTGGGAATGTTTTTGATTAACAGCAATGTTCGAACAATTGATATCTGCAAAAACTGCATTTGAATAGATCTGGAGGACCCACAGAAGTTCAATATTGAACAAGGGAAAGAAAGTATTTAAATATAATGGAATCTGGACACTGAGACTTTCCTACTAGACAATATGATCTCTGCCTAACCCGTGCCTGGAAGCATTCACTAGCAGTCAAGTCAAAACTATTACAGGCTATTACCTGAGCACTTAGAAAACTTAATAATGAACTCAAAATTATTGAGGTTTTTTCTTTTTCATATGCATAGTGATTGTTATGATACAGGTGAATGACAAATTTTGATTGTTGAAAGTGACCAAACAGTAGAAACTTGTCTCAACTACTTCCAATAGATACAGGAAATTAATAAGTTTTGTCTTTATCCAGTGGTTTTTAATGTCTGATTTCTTTTTGTCTTGCTACTGCCGGAAGGTGCGCCTTGCTACAGTAGGTGGACAAATAGTGCATCTCCAGAAATGTAAGCTTTCACTTAAGAAGAATTCATGCAGAAGTGCCTTTCCATGAGTAGTTTTTAACCTTTTGTGTGTTTAATTATATTCAGTTCTTAAGAAATGTATTTTAACCAATACATGTGAGTAAATACATAATTTGTTTCAAATATACTTTATTGGAAAAAGCACAAAACAAATTTATGTATATCTATGATGTAATGGTTCAAAACATTTTAGGAAAAGTCTGTTAAGACCAGTATGGTTTGTGGATTTTCTGTGTGTTACCTTTTTCTGGAAACATAGGTGGGCAATGTCATTAGGCCATGTCCTGGCTGTTTATGCAGCCATAAATACTGTCTTCAAAAACAGATCAAATTCATGCTTATGACTGGTTATGGTTTCCTGCTTTTGCATGTCTATATGTGAATTCCAGAACTTCATTACTATGGTGGTTGAAGGTTTTAATGTCTAATAGCAGTAAATTAATGATTGTTTATTCTTGTACTTACTTTGTCAGTTAATCTTGACTTCTGGCTTTTCTTGCAAGTAAATAACTATATGCTTTATAGCCTTTATCGTACGAAACTAAGGAAGTCTGGTTTTTCCATAGTTGTGGTCAAAGATGCATGCTAACCTGCAGCAGTTTGCAGCCATGTAGTTCTGAATTCACATGCAAGATGCACTGGTTTTTTTTAAACCATTCACCTCAATACTGACAGGTTGAAAATTAACTTCCTTGGTTTCACCACTATAGCACAGGATTTGAGGGAGGTGAGGTTACAATCCCGAGTCAAGGCAGTGGAATGGATGTGGTACCAAAATACCAATGCATGCAAGTTTTGAATCAGTGTGTGAAGCAGTATAGAGTGCTTAAGAGTTTAGATTTAACACAAATTAATTTCTGTTGTCTTAAAATAAAGAACTGAGAAACTAGTGAGACTTTTTAGCTTGATAGTGCCTAACTAATTTTACACTTTGGTTTAAAGAGAAGTCATCTTTTGCTCTGAAAAGAATGCCACGAGCAGCACATATACCTCAAGTCATACAGCAGTTAATTCTTTGCATGCACACTTACTGAAGTGAAATCTATGGCTGTAAGTAAATGTGTACGCTTTCTGAGCCAGACCTAGCAAAGTTCAGTGTTTCTGAATGAAATTCATAACAGCCAATTTGCTAAGCAGGGCACTATCTACCTCCACATCTGCTAATACTGGACTTCCACTTAGGCATAGCAATGCTCTGTGGAGAAGTTCCTCCTTGACTGAGGAACACAAGCAGTAAAGATGCCGCCTGATTTAGAAAGCAACTGAAATAACAACTTCAAGATCATAAAACTGGATTTAGATAAAATATGTGTCCAAGTACTATTTTTTTTTAATTTACTCTAGCTGCTCAATATTATTTGTAACATGCCTGAGACCAAAGTGTTCTCATTATGAAGGAATGCTGCTAATCACTAGTGTGACACTGTGATTTTTCTAGTGAATCTTGACATCATCATTGCAAAGGAGATAAAACAAAAACTACTCACATAAACTAAACACTGTTTAAGGCACTTTCCTAATGCCATTTTTCATTGTTGCAGGACCCTTCAGAGTTAAGGGAAAGGCTGGTCATTCAAGTTAAGTGTTGCACTTATTAGTTGATGCCTAGAAATTCACAACTGCTGTTGTTTTAAGGGGGAAAAGGGCACAGCTGTCTTCAGCTTTACTCTGTCCTATCTCTACACAGCAATTCCAGATTGTAAGCAGCAATTTATGGGACACGCTGAAGTGAGAGCCTCAATTAGTTACTGAGTTTCCAAGTGGTAAAAGAGTTTGGATAGATCCCATGAGCTGCTGCTTATTAATAGCTAGCTTGCAGCAGTTCCCTGCTTAGACGGCAGTTGTGAGTCTCACCCTAAGGCACCTCTACTCTGCCCCGTGTACACTATGAGAAACTGGGGGATTTTGCTGCTGGATTTTACTTTGAGGCCTCAGTAATAACAGTTCCCCATGTCTGTTATACAGTCTAATTCACCACACCTAATTCATCCTCATATTTTGTGGTGAAGACTGCTGAAGTGCAAAATAGTTAAAATTTGGTTGGTGGTACATTTGAGAAGCTTACTTTCAGTGACTAAGTTCTTTTAGACTTTTTTAAAATCCAACAGCTGTGCTTCATCTCTGATGATGATACAACAATGTGTTTTCTTATGTCTAAAAGTGTTGATTTTTAACACCAACTATTTTTCCTGCTGCCTCTAGACTGAATGTAAAGAGGAAGGTCTGTGGTGCAGCTGGTAGTTTGTATATTGACACAGGTAGCACGCTTTTATCTGCTTGCAAATATGTGTTCAGAATCAATAAGCATAAACATTTAAGTAGAATGGGATGTTTAAGAGCGCACATACAAGGGATATTTTAATTATATATGACAGGTTTATTACATGTAATTATAAAGATATGTTATATATAAAGATAACCAGTCATTGGCCTCCTGTGATTCAGGAACACTGTGCTGCTGCATATTCAAGGTCAAATTGTTTTCTGTAGTGAAAAAAAAAAATTACGTTTTTCAGCTAAGTGTCATATTTGTCTTAAGAAATTTTAATTAAGAATTGCTTATCTGATTTAGAAGATGATGGAAAGGAGGTATTTATTTTCTTCCCACCTCCCAAAAGGTGATCATACTTACAAAATTCGCTGAGATTGTCCAAGAAAGTGTGTAAAATCCTCATCCATCACCGAGAGCCCCTGGTCAGGGAATGACAGTGCAGTAAATATCTTCAGCAGCTGCCTTTTAATGTACAAGCTGTTTTCGGTAGGAATTTTCAGCACTCACATAAAACACACTGTCATGAGTGACTGCCTGTGCTCCAAAGTCATTACTATTGGGATGATGGAACATCTTTCAGCGAATAACCAAAAAACTTTAAATGTCATGTCAAGTGTGTTGAAGGCATTTTCAAGCCTTGCTCAAGGTTACATGAATATTGAGTAGGCCTGTTTTTAAAAAGTTTGAGATCTATGAGAGAAACCACTCATATGCCAGTTTGGAAAACAGTCACTTGATCTGGAAGGGGGGTGGGGAGTGACAGAAAAAGAAATCTGTCTATTAATACATGCCAAACCTGAAAAACTCCTGCCTGGATATTAACTGAGTGCAACTTTGTGTGACAGGCAATGCCAGTGATGTTTAGCAAAAAATAGGGAATTATGCCATTTGATGAAATTACTTAGCTGCCTAAAAGTTCACTAGGGAAAGAAAATGTACAACAATGGATAATTAAATTAAATTAGGTTTTTAAATACATTTTAAGATTTGAACAATTAAAAAGTATGGATAAAATGTAATTAATGAGGTAAAACCTTGGAAGACACTGAGAAGTGCCAGGTACCTCGTTGACTCCAGTAGGAAAGGAGGATCCTGTCATTCTATATCCGTAATTTTGTAAGAAATATGGATGTTAATTTAATGAAGACATATAAAGTCTGTATCACTTCCAAGAGACCCAGTCTACTGCTTTTGAAGTGATAATATATTTTGTCTTGCCTCTTTGGCATTCATTACTCCTTGTAGTACATCATCTGCATGTAAAATTTTTCTGATCAAGAGGTCTTTTTATATTACAGAATATTGAAACTGAGTATTCTAATAATGAAACAAGGTTTGTTTGATTTGTCTTCTGCAGAGAACCAGAAAGGACAGCCAGAGAAGCCGTGTTCACACCACAGTATCACTTTAAACTCGACAAGAAGCCCACTCACCAAAGAAGTTACATATGATGTGGAAACAAGTTCTAAGGGGTTGAACAGGGCTGTTGGGAGAAAGGAAGCCTGTCATGGAGAAGGTGGCAAAGAAAAGAAAATGGATCGTATCGGGTCCCCTCCTAAGGGAGAAGCCATTCCAGAAGTAGAAGCTCTCTTGGCAAGACTGCGAGCACTATAGAATAATCATATAACAGTTTAAATAAAAGTTAAAAACAATAGCCTACACTACATCTTTAAAGAAATAATAATTTTCTATTTCTGACGTTACATATTCCTGACTTCCTAACTTCTCTGTGGATGAAGGATCTGCTTCTAAACTTTGTTTGCAAGACTATACAAAACAATATTACAGTTTTGCATAACTGCAAGATTATTTTTTATTATAAGTTTTTACTTAATAAGCATATGAAAAATATCAGAAGAAGATAAATACTAAATTGATTCAAAGCACAATCCTTTTAGTGGACAGGCTGCTAACCATCTGTTTGGAGTGCTTCTGAAAATAGGAATATATTTAAGTATTGTTAAATCATTATGCCTGGGAGTAGGGTCAATAAATAACAAAAAAAGGTATTCTTATATTTTCTACTGTAATTTTTATATTTAGGAAGCTAAAGCACCAAAAATGTATCATTATAGTGTCCTTTACAATTACAGTAATATACAGTATCAGCCATATTCCAGTTTGAGCTCATCAAAGAGCACCAGAGCTTGATGAATTATAGATGTATTTACCAAATGGTAATCCATGGGCAGTAAAGAAAAAATCTATGCAAATAATATACTTTATGTGTAATTAATATATCGCTGCTTTTAAGGTTATTATGATTATTATATCAAAATAATATATACAATTGCTTTGATTGCAAGGTTTTGCAATTGTGTCTTTAGAGGGGGAAAATGTCTTCACAGTTATTTACCAGTGTAATATTTTCTCTTTTCACATGCAAATTAATATGTTTCTATAAAAGGAACATGTAATGGAGATTTTTTCAATTGGTTTTTCACAAACTCATTTTCCAGTAGCCCATAAAGTCTTACTTGCTGGCACAACAGGAGTCTTGCAAGTGATTGCATCTCCTTTATCCCAGTGTCACTGTACAGGGTTGCGTGTTCGCTATCGTATTTATTAATTGCACATCAGAAAGAGTTGCTACCAATGTTACCAAGTAGGGAGCTATTGTTGGTCTCTTTGCTCCATTATTTAAAGCTTCCTTAATATAAGAGTGTATTAAGAATCTAATATCTTTCTTCTAAATTACTTTATTTTTCTTTACAAAATGCTGAAAAAGATGTCTTTCAATAAGAGTCAGTTACATGAAACCAGTGTTTCAATGCTCCAGTGCTTTTTATATCCTTGTTTAAGTTGCCTTTGTACTTCCTGCACTAAACATTAATAAAGTTAATTAGAACTCGAAAACTGGGCCTGATTACACACATGGCATAGGGGGGTTTTCAGCCGTCGTGGGAATCAATCTCCTCTTTCTGGGACTGTTGTAGCTGTCATTATACACTAATTACATTTCCCGCCTTTGCTGAAAAAAGAGAGGTATAAACACAAATCAGGGAAGGATTCAGAGCAGGCATGTCAGACAGACATTTCTTCAGCTCCCCTTGCAAACAATGGGCACAGTTGTCAAACAGAGACACCTTTGGTAACTTGAAATACATCTTGAACGTATAACTCGAAATACAGCAACTGATAGTTGTTCCACTAAGGTCTTCTGCACCTCCAGTATTAAGACTTACTACCCCTATTTACAGAGTGCAGTAAAAATTGCTATCTAAAAAGTCCAATATGATTGACTACATAAAATGACATTTCAAACACAAAGAAAATGCCTGTTCAAGGGGAATAAAAGTTAGCAGTACACTGGATCTTTTCAGTGCTGGGGATGTGCTAGAATAAAAGGGCTAGAAGTAGAGAGCCATCTCTTAAATGTTAGGATGTTCCTCCTACACTTGGAGGATGATCGTGTAGGTGGAAGTACAAATTATTTTCATGGACTCTGTAAACTTGTTCATTTGAATGGATGAAACTCCACCTCAGAAAACTGACAGTTCAGGACGCTACTGCGTAGCTGATCAAGCAAAGTTACAAAACTATCGACTGAATTTTGCAATGAACAAAATGCTGCTAGAAGCCTAGCATTTCCTGATTTTAAAATAAATATTTATCTTTAAATTACAGAATTTAAGCTACTTTTTTTTTTTTTTTTTTACAGTTTGGATAGCTTTTAGAAATGTATTCCAGGGCTTTTAGTCCTTCTAAGGTATTGTGTTTCTGAATTAATCCTTTCAAGTAGCCTTTATTTCTGTAACAAGGCAAATAAAAAGCTGTGCAACTTCTAAGAATACATGTAAATACAGTATCCATTTTTTTCCTCTCCTGTGCTTCTTTGTACCATCATAACTTAATCTACTCAGAGTTAAAGTACATGGTCCAGTTGAAGTACACAGTAGGTTTTCTTTCTACATTTTATTTTTCTTTAATTTCCATTAGACACAAACTCATACACAGGATGTTTTTGATATGAAAAATACTAGTATTGCTTAATGAGTTCAGAGAAAAAAAAACTTTGAAAGTATTACAGCTGCATTGATTTCTATGATTTTATGTTTGTATTAAAATATAAAAGTCAGCTTGTAAATTATATAAATTGCTTTAATTAAATGTTAAAATTATTTAATTTATTCAGTTTAAAATCTAAAATTCATTCAATCTCAGAATACTCAGGGTAGACCTTTATTAGTCATTTTTAGTAGGTATCGAGTCTTCTCCTACAGCTGAGGGACTGAGCCATGAACAGCTCCTGTTAGAAATGGACAAAGGTTTCATATACTGTGCCACACCCTCTCTATAATTCACACCTGAAAATTAAGTCCTTACAAAAAGAGCTTCCTGATTTAGTTAAACACTGCTGTTCAGATAAAAACATTTGAAGTAATCTTGCAGGGCTCCTTCCCTACCTGAGCAGCAGACAGAAGGCACAAACATCTATGGCTTTTCTTGCCAGTAGAACTGTAAAGGTCTAACACATCTTTTTGATACTTCATATGCATTTTGGATGACTTTTCATTTCACTCAGTAAAAGAATTTTGATTACTACATCAATTTTTATACTTCCTGTAGACACCGTATTGTTTGTGGTGGTAGTCTAAATTCGTATGAAATATTCTAATGTTTTGACCTTAGCAAGGCAAGAATGTTTGGAGCTTCAAGCTGCACACAACCAAGCTTGACACCTGACTCACAGGCTGTGGGTAATACCCCAGTGTGTGTAAGCCCAGAAGGAAAAGTGGAGGAAGTGCTTTCATTACAAACAAGTCCAACAGTGCCAGCACGTGGTGGCTGCCATGAGATGTGATAGTGCCTGGATCAGGCACTTCATTGAAGAAGCACAGACCAGAAACTTGAAAATACTTATTTTTAGTTCCCAATTATTATGACAACACTGCTGCTTAGGAGACTGAAAGGACCACACGTAGGAAAAAAATGTCTCAGATGCAGTTGTTACAAATAGTTTTTCTCCAGCAGTTTTCTTTGTTTTCCTCATATAATCATTCCTCAGCCAGGCCCATCCAAAGTCACATTCTCCAGAACTGCACGAGTTAATGCTGACCAGCTGGAGGTATTGCAGCCCTTCTGGCTTTTATAATAAAAGCTGAGAAGGACGACATTTACTGCTTACACTTTTTCCACATCCATTTCTAATGAGTAGGACCAAATTATAATTTTTACACTAATCTTTCCAAGCCTTACAATACTCAGTAACTGTAAAACATGGGCAACAAACAGAGGTCAATAAACCCCAAGCTATGGCACCTAAAACATTATAATAAGCAAGCAGGGTCAAGTGAAAGAGCTCAGCAAAAAAGCAATTACATGACAACATTGCTTTCTCCAGAACAAAATAAAGCATTACTATACCATTTTCTAAATTTTTTTTTAATGTGATGTATGGGTTCTACACAACTGAACAGCAGCAGAAAAATAACTTCTCTTGAAAGTCTGTTTCTGAGGAATTGTTTATCTAGTTTATGAAATTAAAAGAATTAGGCAAATTGCAATTTATCAATTTTTCAAACTAATTTTCTGCCAAGATTCCTATATCTAAGAAATTCTAAAATTACCATCTGCTATTAACTACAGCACCAACTAATGAACTTGGTTTGCATTTTTTTAACACACAAAGCAAGCCCATTTCCTTCCTTTCCAAACACATTTTCTCCATTGCACTATTGTGTGTTTTAGCTGAAGTATACTATTTAGAAGAGGGCTCTACACCTCACTGTAAAAACATGTTTGATAAAGCATTCTGGTCACTCTGACAGCAGTGCAAAATAAACAAGAGGTGTTCAGGCACAATTTTTCTCTCCCAGCTGCAGAGATAGCCATTAAGTTTCGTACGTTAGCGGAGTACATTTAAACTCCTCTGTGCTTCGTCTTCCATAATGTAGCTTTTTCTTTTTGTGATCCATGAGAAGGCATACACTGAAGAATTGTTAAGGGAAATATTTTCTAGCAGCACACCAAAAGGACACTAAGCAAATGACTTGCATGTGACATCAGCCCTATATGCCGTAGGAGGCGTAACACTTGAAATGTAACCCAAACAGGCAGATAAGGTATTTCATTCCACAGAAAGAAAATGGTTCCTTTCATCTAAATGAGCTTATTCCACTGCTGATACCAGAATTGTATGTATTTTGGGAGGATAATGTACCCCTATTTTTAAATCTGTGTTACATTAGCCAGGAAAAATAAACTATGGAAAGATGAAAGTGCAGAGACTGGGGAGCAGAGTTGATTAATGTGCTGCCTGATTTCACTTCTGGGACCTGAAATTGCAGTCAGTGCAGAATGAAGGAACTAGGGGGGAAAAATACCCAGTCTCATCTGACATCTGTAAAGGTCATGAAGGAAATGATGGTGGGTGATCCAAAGTTGGTATGGCCACAGGTGTCTTTTCTTTTCAAAGACATATATCAGAATATCCTCAGTGTTGGGCTGTTAGTTCTTGAAGCCCTCAAATGAATCAAAGGAAGGAAAAGTCTGGCAGAGATAAATATGAGCTACCATAAAACTGAGAATATTTTCATCTCAAATCCAAGCACCCGCCCTGCTCCTCTTCATTTTGGTAGCTAAAAGAAGAGCATGAGGAGAGAGAGGAGTCCACATGGTGGCCATGCCTTCCCTATGGCTGTGCCAGACAATGCTGCTCTTGGCAGCTGCCCTGGCTGGCACAGTGAAGGCAGTGCAGGTGCCACTCTGCC